CCCCCCCCGCATCAGATTGCCAGATCTTCAATCGAATTCAGTGTTATTTACAAAATATCCCTTGGTGTGTGTTACGTAACTTATCACGCTTCTAACGAAATCCGTGCAATGCGCTTTCTGCATTGTCTATAAATACAAAGTCCGAAGAAATTCGACAGTCTCGATCGCTGCCAAAGGAAAGTCATTGGTTGCCGCTAGCGAGTCAGATCGAAGATTCAATATCGTTACAAAGAAGGTGAAGAAGAAGAAGAAGTAATAATAAAAGCCATCCGCAACCGAAAGGCTCGGACGTGACGCGATAAACCGCACGGCTCATCGTGTACACCGTCCGAGAGAGAGAGAGCGTTGATCGATCACGGTCTCTCTCGGTGGAATAGCGGACGTTCTTTTCTAAGTAGGATCACCTCTCATATATATCGCGTACATATCGCATGCGACGATACCCCCTTTCTTCTAATTACACAAGCAACTTGTACAAAAATAGCGCTTTGTGTACAACCACACGTAGTACATCACGCACACCCGACAACTGAATGAATTACGCGAAAGTGAAATCAAAATACGCATCCGATGCTCCATTCGCTGTTAACACCTTACGTCTTTATCCGTCGGAGTATACAGGGTGTTCGAAACCTCTCCTTCTGTCGCTCGCGTGAAGGTAGAACGGGTTAAATTGAACAGAACGGAAAAGTTCTCTACTATCTTGCAAATAACAGACGAATTTTGGAGTTATCACTGAAAGAAATCTTCATACATGACTATTTTAAATCGTTAATAACTCGAGATTTTGCGTGGTCGTTTGCAAAACGGTACGGGACTTTTCCGCTCGGTTTTAACCCGTTCTACATTTACACGAGCGATTGAGAAAAAGGTTCGAACACCTTGTACGTCGATCGCCAATCGCTCCTCTACGGGGCCGATCGTTCGCCTTCGTGAGACGCGCGGAAGGAATGAAAGTGGAAAGCGACACATTCGAGTTTTCTTTCCTTCCTTTTTAAGCGATACTTAACACGTTGACTGCCACGGGGTCATCGGTGACAATGGCGCTGTTATATCGCCGTGTCGCGCTAATTCGCGCGTGTAGAATATAATTATTATATAGGATTGCATATAATAGGTATGTGTGATAAATGTAATTATATTGTTAAGTACGACGTATAACAAGTTAAACACGTAGCCAATAGACAGCCGATGAAAGTGAGTTGACGAATATTCGCGAATTCATTTAGACCGCATCTTATTCGATTACTCGAATTTTCGTTCAGCGTTGAAACGATCAGTGGAAATCAGCGTGGCAGTCGACGCGTTGAAGTGAGGATTTTCTTCTCCGCGTTCGTGCTCTTTTGTTTTCTTTTTTTCTTTCGAATACACGCTTTCAGACTAATGGTAAGCCGCGATACAAAACAACGTGGATCGCATGGTATGACGTATTCAAGATCACAAGTTTCAAATAGAGCTATTCATTTTCGACAAAGTGAAGCTTCGAAACTTCGAACAGATTCGAAGCTTCGAAGGCTGTGAATTTCCGACATTTCTTCGAAGCTTCGAAGAATACGATCTTACAAATACTGTAAACTAATGTCTACGTAGATTTTACTCAGGGAATCCTGAGCAATTTTGTAAATGAACTTTTGTAAAGGACTGCATGCACCAGACGCATATATACGCTTTTTTGTAACGAGAAATATCCCAGGAAAAAATGTTCTATATATAATTAGATATATTATTATATATGTAATTATATATAATTATATAATTATATATGAGNCCCCCCCCCGGAATGTTCTTCCCGCTATATTCACGTCCGACCTAAATAGCTGTGGTAAAAATGTAAAATTTAGGAAACACATAATAATGATAATATATCTCGAAACTTGGAAGATTCTTCGAAGATTCGAATGTCAAAATCTTCGGAAGAAAACGCTAGCCCTAATTTCGAGTCGTTTTCGAGAATACGAATCGAGGAACAAACTCGGCGCGCATCGCTGAGACATCGCGCGACATCGTAACGGTCGTAATGTAATAAAGAAGCCAAGGAGCTGCGTTCGGCATCACCGAGAGGACACGATAAACATTGGCACATTAAACTCTATATTACTTTATTTTGCATTTTATTCCGACCACTCTTTTCTCGGCCGATACGCGCGCGAGAGCAGCCGCGAATCGAGCCGTTTTCAATTGTTGTATCTTCATTATTACGGTAAAGAGTTATCTCCGCGCGTAACTTCGCAACTTCTCAGCGCGGTGAGACGACAAAACAGCCGCCGGCGGGGAGATGATCATTGAACTCCGCGTTTCTTTTCTTTCTTTTCCTTCTTCTTGCGTCTTTTTCTAACGTAACAAGCCTCGTACGATGAGAAAAATTACAGATAGGAAGATACGGCCGCTCGTACGCGCACCCATATGTTATTATTATTATTATTATTAACGTTTACAAGAACGGTGCGGTGTTCCACTCTCTAGATAATGATCGAAATGCTCTTGTAATTAATGATATACACAGATGTCCAAGGATCCGGCGGCCTCGGAGAACCACGGGACACCTTCGACACGCCAGCCTTTAAGATAGAAGCACCCCAATACCTGGACACGTATCTGATTCTGGACAATCTTATCGCTGTGTTCTTCAAATACGATTATCTGAGCTTAACGAATATTTCCACGAATTCATATGATATTTAAACATAGAATTTATATATATATAGTGAGTGCAAACAGTATTTGTATAGGGGAGGTGGTTTTGAAAAAGACCTTATTCGTAGAAAATAGGCTTTAATTAACAAGTGGTTAACAATGTGAACATAATAAATGATATATATTTCTCGAAATTATTACGACGAAAAGAATTTAACAATTGACACATGTCGTCCCAATAATCGATAGAAGTGAAAAATTATGTTAATTCGGTGCATAATAGATACCATCTTTCGTCTTTGATCCGATCAACTTATTAATTTAATATCTTGTGAAGTAACTCTCCATTGTGGCGCTAATTACGGCTCGTAATCTTCGGTGCATCGACTGCACCAGCTTTTGCGTAATAGATGACGAAGTGAACTCCCATTCTTCTTGAAGAACAGTTTTTAAACCTTCTCGATGAAAAATTTACCGACCTTTCCTGACAGATTATCCCCAAGAAATGTTCTACAAATGTTCAATAGAATTGAAGTCTAGTGACTGAGAAGTTGTATTCAACCGTTTTGGAATATTATATGTATATATACATACACACATGTACATATATTGAATATATACATATTGCATCTTATGTTGAAAGTTTAAATATTCATTAAACATTTAAAGACCAAAACAATAAGTATGCCCAGGGTGAGGTACGTGTCCAGCCGATGGTACTTTTACCTTACATCACGCTGCTACGCTATATCGTCCACTCTCTTTCTCTCTCGCTCTACGCACACAATAGCCAAACTAGCCCTCACGCCTCTTCCTCTCCATCTCTCCCTTCTACTTCGTCCCTTTTTATAAATGAGATTGCACTAACAACAATATTCGTCCTCGTCGCTACCTAGGATCAGCTTATCTTTACATCACATTTACAGTGTTCCTGCCGATATGTTTGTTCGTACGTGGCACGGTACTTTGAATACAAGCTAAGCTCCGTTTATAGATCTCGTTTTAGAATTTTCATTTCGCAGAGCCATCACAATGTGCAATTTTTATCGTAAATATAGCGTAAAACGAATGTCCCACTAACGAATCTTTCTTATTAGATGACATGATGTTGGTTGACACTGAAAATACACCCCTCCCGGGGTTTGACCGACCGACTGGCCGATATCGGAGGAACGAAGGCGTGCTTGCTCCGATTATCATTTGAAAGTTGTACGACTCAAGAAACGATATTCCGATATCTCCTCTTACGATAATGCGTACTCTATAAATGTTAACACACTTGAATTATCCGTAACGCACTTAAATTATTCATTAAACATACAACGATCGGAGCGACAGTTTTTATCTTTTTCTCGCGCAAGGGATAAGAATTTCGTCACGTTACGCAAAGAGAGAGAGAACGCCCGCTGGAATTCTCTAACTAATGCCGCGTACGACGATGCACCATCATCATGTCATCCAAGGCACTTCAGAGAATACGGTTTACACAATGAAAGACACCAATAGTCGAGTCAAGCTAGCGCACCGCGAGGTACTCAGGCATGCGTACGTAATTAACGATAATCAATTCATAGTAACCACATTTGTGTATCACATCTACTTGTATGCGTCGTGTTGCCGCACCGGGTGGAGTCGTTCGTCTCGGGCCATGAAACGGTGTCGTCTGTCGTGATCGAGTTCAAGGGTGCAATCGAGAACACGAGAACGAACTCTACGCGTCGGTAAGGAAAGTAAGAAGTCTCAGGACAGAAGTCTCTGGAAATAAACGTTCCCTCATGGCGTCGCAATGAATCCCCTTACTTTCTTCTGTTTTACAAAAGCGAAATCAGTGTCAAAGTGTGAACGCTGAGGCTTTCCCGAGCGGCTATTTTAATGGCTCATTGGACGAGATTCGCTACAGAGTGATGTTCTCCGACGCATCCCCCCAAAAGTAAACGCATCTTCGGCTCAGCATTCTTTTCTACAATATCACCTTACGATCGAAAAGAGTGCCCGCTGTACGGACGGATGCCTAACACGATAATGCCAAGAGATTATTATTATTATTATGTGTATATGTGTGTGTGTGTGTGTTTATGTGTGTAAAGTTCAATTTCAAGAGGAAGAGATAATACACTACGCAAGTAGTGTGCGCGTCGTCCCGTTTTGCGAGCTCGATCTTTCGCAGGGGCCAACTTAAGCGCGAGTTCCGAGTTTCTACCTTCGCTTCTAACTACGAGACGCGGAGACAGCCAGTCGGCCCTTGAATTTACTCGCGAATACATGTGCTTTTCCGCGAGGAACGGCTTCGGTCGGTTTACATTGTTTCGCACGTGTGCTCCGGCATATTCCTGTCGATCGATCATACAACTCGATTGGTTTGGCGCGTTTGTCTCCACAGAGTAAACAGAGTTAACGGTGACCGCCGACAGAGCTGATTCTCTAAACGATAACGAATTGAATGAATTCAACTGTAAAAGGGAGGAACGAAAGGCAAATAAGAGATTAATGTTATTCTTGTGTGCGATACGTTGATACCGGTCGCGTTCAGCGACACGACGGTTGTGCAATTGTTAAAGTAAAAAATGACTTAAGATCGGTGTATACCAGCGTTAGGCACTAATCGTTAGGCACTAACTTAAACTGTTCAGTTGATTAAACTCATCCAACGATTAAGCGTTAATCAATTATTTTGCTTCGATAAATTCTACACTGATTAACGATTAACATCAGTAATCGATTAAATTACTCACACAATTACACGATTACGAGATTAATTTAGACTAATAATTAATAGATCATTTTAATCGACCAAAATTTTAATACATCGAATAATGTCCAACACTGGTATATACTTTACAGATCCATCCAGTCTCTCACATCCATCCTCCAAAAGTCAAAGATCATTCAATTGTAATTGTGTCCGCTGGATGCAGCCATTATCATGCGCGAGTAACAGCGTTTGGTTCTCATTTGCCTTTCATCTCATCATCTCATCATTGTCTTTTTCTTTCTTCGGATACTTCAGAGCCTTCATAATATTTATCAGAATTCAATTGTGCTTAATGGGCTCTTCTGAAACGATTTCATTCGTGTCCGTTCCAATGATCGGTCGCGCATTTCTGCAAACGGGACGCGCGTTAAAATATATTTTGATTGAGGCGTGATTCACACAAGCTTTGTGTTTGCTTCGGTAAGGATTGAACGGTAGTAAGAAACTCTCGTCCCAACGCGAAGTTACAGTTGTATACACATTATTTGTATATTTTATACACACGGATAGTGTTTCGATTCTCTACTGATTTTCATGACGAATACTGCGTAAATTAATAACAAGATCGTATTTGTATTGCACTCTCGCTCGAAAGGCAATGGCATCGTAAACGAATAAAAAAAAGATCATTAACTAACATTTCTCCATTCGTCTCTCGTTGACTCTCGTTAGTCATAATTTAAATCTGGGTCTGCACTACGCATCTGATGGTGCTGTATATAAACAATTGCGCATTATCGGACATATCCATACATATCGCTTATTATGCCTTGAAATTACTATACTACGGTCTCGAACGATTTGCATTGATAGCTCATCATACTCGAATCTCTCTGCTTTTTGACAAAAACAAAGCAGGTAGAAAGAGATTGGAGCACAAAATGAACTATACCGAGGCAAATTGTAACAAATAATTTTAAGACATAGTAAAAAAACACACGATATAATGTAACAGATCTTTACACGTGAAAATAATTACAGTAGCTACAATAGTAACTTTTACAAGAACCTCTATATAGAGCTCTTTACGTCTGTATCCCTCAAATCAGGCACGCAAGATAGCCTATGTGTTTTAGGTGTGTTTTGTGCATTATGTACACCTTACAGTTTGTAGAAATAGAAGTGACGGTGCAATATATATATATATATACACACATATATATATATATATATTAGCAGAGTAATGTACATATACATGTAGGTGTCAAGCTAGCTCAGCGAAACCTGCTTGGAATTTCATGTTAATATCATAATATCACGGTATATAATTATATATATATATATATATGTATGTATAATAGAAGGAGTATACAATACGCGTTTACAGGATACGTATTACATAAGATAGCGCATTGTACAAGTGTTTGCTACCTAAGCATTTACATTCCAGAGACATGTCTCCATTACCAAAAAAATATAGAAACATGTATGAATAAGAAAAGGAAAAAAAAGAACAGATCTCTCTCTCTCTCTCTCTCTCTCTCACAGGCTATGTCTCTGTGCACTAAGTGACCTCTCGATATATCGCGTTTCTCGGTGGCAGATTTTTTTGCGGTTCGATTGAAAAATAAACTCGATTTCTATAAGTAGATACGGGATACTCTTTCATTCTCTCTTTCTTTTTCTCTCCATCTTTTTCTATCACTCTGAGGTGTATAATTACGGCAAGCGAGGATCAGATCACACAGGAACCTAGATTCGTAATTATCTTGTGTGTGTATATGGTATACAGGTCTCTATGCTGCACAGAATCGTATCAAATAGCCGCGCGCTACTTTATATCACACCGAATTTTACAAAATATAAAAACTTGTCGTTGTACTGTGTGTGTGTTCGCGTTAATATATTTATATATTTCATTATAATAGCAGATTCGATCTAACGAAGTGCGCAAACCCCCGGCGACGCACCCACGCCTTCATAAAGTCTCTTATCCGGAAACCGCATATCATCCGTGTCTCTTGTACCCGTCATCAGATCGACATTGAACGTATCCGCAAACGTCAACTACGAGCTTGGACCTAGCATTACTTATGGCGCGTGTAACACAGTTGTAACGTTGTATCAATCATAAGATAATAAAGCCTGCGAAGGTAACCGTCGTACGTTAGAAGAAGGTACGAGAGTCGTGTTGTACCGTGCGGGCCCGTCGAAGCGAATTTGACGTAGTTTTTACGTAGTTTATGCGTTCGGATGATGACCACGTATTCGCCTATATTCGTGCGTAAGTGTGTACGTGTGCGTGTACCGTGTGTGCTGTGTGTGAGGGCGCACCAACGCGAAAGCGAATTGACTCTAAGATCTAGGTGTATCCTGCTCCGATCGAAAGCGACAGTTAAAAATCCGGAGCTACAACCCGGGCGACCCTTTCGCCTTTTGCGACAATTTAACGGGGCGATTCAGCTGTTCTTATGCATATGTGGCCTCCTAAGCTGCGGCACCAAGTCGTCCTGAAAGAGCCTGGATATAGCGGTGCGGGTGCAGCCCCACAGCTTCAAGTTTTGTTCACACGTGTATGGCGAGCGTGGTGAGTTGTTGTTGTTGTTATTGTTGGAGGAAGTGGTGCTGGTAGTGGTGGTGGTCGTGGTGGTGGTGGTGAGAGCGGCTGGAATGCGAGTGAGATTCGAAAACATCACGCTTGTTGACACGAGCAACGGCTCGCGCGGTGGTTTCAGTTGAGATTGCCCGAGGGCCCCAGCGGCGTGTGCTGATAATTGGTGTTGATCTGCGACTGCTCTCGATATTGCATGGAGTTGCCGCTGGAGAGCCCGGTCGAGCCTGTGTCCTGCTGCTGTTGCTGTTGCAACAACTGCTGCTGCTGTTGCTGCTGCTGCTGGCCGCTGTTGAGCGCCAGCCGTTGCATCTGACGTATAACCGTTGCCGCGTGGTAAGCTTGCTGCAACCATGAGAGAAGGGGACTTTCCTAGAGAGCCTGGTGAGGAAACAGACGATTAAAGCCATGCTAATCGGCCGGCGATACTAACCTTCCACCTCGACTTGGCAAAATTCTTTTTAAGCTGTTCCGATACTGTACCGTGGATGTTTTTATTGCTAGCCGCGTTGCCGGATATCCTGGAAGTAGCAATGCAAAACGGAATTAAGTTACGCTCGTAAGCTTAAAAGCCCGCACACCGCGGAGTTATATGTGAATACCGAGATTGAATGAATATAATTAGTTGCACAGGAGGAAAGAGAGAAAAAAGAGAGAGAGAGAGAGAGAGAGAGAGAAGGGG